CCTAAGGCTAGGGAGATCTTATTTGTTTAATAAGTTGCTCATGAATATGCAAATCTGCATCAATGCCGCACCTTAGCTGCAAAATTAATGAGCTGCAAATTAATATGACAACAAAGGAAAATCTATTTAGTGACAGAGCCATGGCTCGTACCTGATGCAAGGGTGTGGATAGTGTTAGCCATAGGAAGAAGTTGAGTATTTTGTAATTTCTTCCTTCCACATTACTGCTATTTGATAGTTTAATTCTAGCTAAAATTTCTCAGTTTTTGTTTAAAGGTGTGGAAAAGAAATAGCATAAATTATTCAACTACTTATTACACATCACCAACCAATCCACAGATTTGTTCCATCCAGGAAGGTGGAATTGTGTGGGCTGGCAGTTCAATCCATTTCTACCAGGATCAGCATGATGACCTGTAGGGTGCAGTGGGGGACCATAAGAGTCCTCCTCTATCAGAACAAAGGCCTATCTTGTCCATCATCATTCTGTGCCCACAAGGAAGACCTGAGCACAATGCCATCTTCCAGCACGCATTCCCTGGAAAACTTCTGAGACTGGAGTTAACACAAAGCCATCATGCTAGTAGCTGTTGATAGCCTTCACCTTCATGATTCCTTTTCAAAGCTGTCCTGGGCTGGCATCTATCACCATATCTAGTATTAATGAATTCTGCAGTTTGACTCAGTACTCTGAAGAAGTACTTCCTTTTATCTGTCCTGAATTTCCTACCATTCAGCTTAATTGATTGACCCTGGGTCAACCCCTCTCTACACCATACTTGTCTCTTTTCCAAGCTAAAAAGCCCCAAATGTGACCTTTCGTAGTGTAGGGGATTTGCTTCAGCTTCTTGGTCATACTGGCTGCATGTTTCTAGCTGTAAAATATCCCTCTTGAGGTGTAGTGACCAAATATTTCAAATACAATGCCACCATAATGGAGACTTTCCATTCTACAAGCTTGATTATTTGATCTTTAACAGTATTTCCCACCATTTTATCCAGAATATGCATTACATTAACCAGCTTGTAACTTCTTGAATCCCTTATTAGTGCTACTGTAGTGATTTTGAGGTCTTCTGATACCAAGGCCAAACTTATTGTCATATTCCCTATTTTTGTCAGAATATAATTTTATGTAATATTTGCCTTCTTTAAGTATCGTTGCATGGATTTCATTTGGATGTTTGCTTTCAATCTGGCAACAATATTCAGAATTTTATCTCTTGTCCCCAGTATTTGCCTTGCTTTTTCAGACTTCTTTTCTGGAAGTATCAGTTTAGGCAAGCACTGTGGGCTAAACCGCAGAAGCCTGTGCTGCAGGGTCAGAAGACCAAGCAGTCGTAAGAGCGAATTCACATGACAGAGTGAGCTCCCGTTGCTTGTCCCAGCTCCCGCCAACCTAGCAGTTCGAAAGCATGCAAATGCAAGTCGATAAACAGGGACCACCTCGGTGGAAAGGTAACAGCGTTCCGTGTCTAAGTCGCACTGGCCATGTGACCACGGAAGATTGTCTTCGGACAAAACACTGGCTCTATGGCTTGGAAACGGGGATGAGCACCGCCCCCTAGAGTCGAACACGACTGGACAAAAATTGTCAAGGGGAACCTTTACCTTTACCTTTACTGTCCCACTTTTAATACAGTGAAGACAGACAAAATGAATTCATTCTGTTTTTTTTTTCTCCAGGATCCCCATCCTCCTTTAAACTAAAATCCAATTGCTAGTCCCAATTAAACTAGACCCACTGAATCAATAGGTGAATGGTAAATAAATCACATGTAAATCAAATTGATTCCAATGACTTTACTTGAGTTGTAATTGAATTCAGAATTTTAGATGGTTCTACTGTGGTGATTTTGAGGTCCTCTGGTACCACATCCAAACAAGGTCTTAATTCTCTTATCATCTGACACACTGATTTTCTTGTTTCTGATTCTACTTTAAGAATATATGTATTATTTTGTTTTAATTTGTAAGTATTAATCAGTAGATCTTACCTTTACTTGAATATGTTTAAAAGTAAAATAACAAAATACTGTGTGGCTCCTTTAAGACTAATAGATCTATTACAGTGGGGTCTTGACTTAAGAACGGCTCGAGTTAAGAACATTTTGACTTAAGAACCACTCTCATAGGAAAATCTTGACTTGACTTACATACTTAGATTTGAGTTACAAACTAAAAAAAACCATGTGGGAGGCAGGGAAAGTGCAAAATTTGAACTTCCAGTTAACTGTTGGCCAGTGAAAAGGGTGCCTGTCTGCTTCCTCCCTCCTCCCAGCGTTTAGAGAGTGGATTGGGAGACAGTCTTCGGACTGCCTGGTACTTGTACTGCCTGGACTGTCTTTTCCCTGCCTTCCCTGAACCTTTCTTGACCTAAGAAAAAAAGAAACAAACTATCCCCCTCTAGTGGTCGAAGGCGGAATAGCAGCTTCCCATTAGTTTCTATGGTCGGAAAAGAGCAGATACGGATCCAATGGTTTTCAATGCATTCCTATGGGAAATGCAGATTTGACCTGCAAACTTTTTGACTTGAGAACCGCCTTCCAATATGGATTAAGTTCTCAAGTCCAGACCCCACTGTATAGCATGCCTTTTCATAGACACAGAGCCAGCTCCCTCAGATGCAGGCTGAAGTCCTTTTTTAAGTTAAGCTAATAGAGTTAACAGTGCTTAGAAATACAAAACTTACCGTCCCCGAGATTTGGGAATTGGAGGCTTGCATTTTTGACAGCTAGCTTTACATTTACATTTGGGTGTGCATTTACAATTATAAGAGGCAGTGTGTGTCCACAGCCCCCCACCATGGGCAAGGATCATCAAAGGTCCCATGGGACTGGTCACCACACTGGAGAGCAGCTGGTGCAGAAAACAGGAACTTTAGTCTCAAACTATGTACAGGTGGCTTGTTGGCCATTGTAGGATCTTTCTGTTCCAGACCCTCAACCATCTGTGGTCTTCTTAGTCCAAACAAGGTGGTTTAACTTTACTCCCTGCTGTCCCTGGGCAGTTCATGTCACCCACCCAGTCCTTCAATGCTCCAGAACCTTCTGCTATTCTTTTGGAGTGCATAGATTCCACTCCAGCTGGATTGGCTTCTTCAACGGCTACTGCTACTACCAGCAACACAGCTGGGTCAGAGGTGGCATCAGTGCAGGTTAGGCTGTGTGTTTGTGTTCTGTGCTATCAAGTTGGAACCATCTTATAGCAACTCTAATAGGGCTTTCAAGGTAAGAGAGATCTTTTAAGTAGTGGTGTTACCAATTCCACTCCCCTAATGAGTTTCCATGGCCAACTGGGGATTCAAACCTTGTTCTCCAGAGTCCTAGCCCATCACTGTCCACTACACCACACTGGAAATTCCAGGCTAGGGAAGACACTGCCAAAGCAGACCCAGGCTGCCCCACCATTGGTTCTGCTTCCAGCAGATCTAGGAGGCCTCACGCCCAACTGTTATGAAACTGTTGGCTACTGGACCCTGAAGGAGGGTACAACTTGTTGAACTTCATGTAGCCATACTCGGCAAGGACTTCTGGGTGCCAGAGGCCAAAAGGCCAGTCCAGCATATCACTCTACTCCTCCTCTGTCCTATCTTCCTCACGCTCTCCTCCATCCAGATTCTGACTCTCCACTTCCACTCCCAAAAGTTTGCCAAATTATACTATAGCTCTGTGCTGATGCCTGTCCTCTTACAGGCTTTCTAAAAGAGTATCTGCTAAAAAAATTTGTCTAAAACTTACATTTTAATTAGCTCTTCAACAGTTTAATTTAAAAATTGTTTCACTGGTCGGATCTGGACCTTGGTTGAAGGCTTCTCTCACAAGCAGAATCTTAATTCTAGATGCAGATCTTTAAAACAATAGATGATGTTCCCATGTTTCTTTTCTAAGATGTTTTAATGCTCCAGAAAGCTGTGCTGCTTCCCCAGGATCTGACTTACGGCGTTTCACAGACTAGACCAGCAATGGCGAACCCTGTGGCACACGTGACATAGCTGGCACACAGAGCCGTCTCTGTGGGTACATGAGCCATAAGTCGCCATCAAGAAATACTTACCCATCCTCTGATCCCGGATTTTGGCAATCCCCTCTGTTGGTGCAGTGGTCCAGCGGTGGGGGTGCATTGGTGACCATTACCAGTCTAGCCCAATGGGGGATTGGAGGACTAGTAAGTATTTGTTAATACCACCACCAGGGGAAAAAAGCATTTAACCCTTGCAGTTCAGGAGCAGTTGTTTTTTCTAAAGTAAAGCCTCAGCATTCGGGTTTTAATTGCAGTGTTGGCACTTTGAAATAAATACGTTGACTTTGTGTTGCAGTTTGGGCACTCGGGCTCAAAAAGGTTCACCATCACTGGACTCGACATATGAAGGAATCATAGTTTCGCTTATTTGTAACTGCAGTTGGACTGTACCAGGTTTAACTGAAAACACAATTCTACTATTTCTGACTTTTATCATTTTGAATTATCCTATAGTAGTTTCCTAGTCTATTCCACAGTGACCAGTGAGACAGTTTGCTAGAAGGAACTGCTAGCAAACATGGTGTTGAACAACAGAGTGAGAGAAGGCTGGTCTTCCTGTCCTTGCTCTTCATTGCTAGAAAATGACAATGGAGGTAGGAAACAGCAGCGCATCTTCTGCAAAATCTGAATGACTTTAAGACTGCTTTGGATGCCATCAGTAACTTTCCCCAACACTGGGAGTGACATTCTCTGAAGGGCTATATGCTGGCCAGGTAAATGCCACATACCCTAACCCCACCCAAATAGCCTCTTCCCTATATACTGACCCATTATGGAAATTCCATGGGGGATTAATTATGTTGTGAACTACCTGGAGAGTGTTTTAGAACTATGGGGCGGTATATAAGTCAAAACAACAACAGTTGCACCTCTGCACCTAGGAAGCAACAGATTCCATCTGAAAACGGAGTTGGTCCCTTAGTTCACTGGAGAGTCAGGCAGAAAACTATGCAATCTCAGTATTGTTTTCTCAACAGTTTTATTGCCTTTAAGATTTTTTTTGTAAAATATAAATACAAAGGCAGAAGAATTTACTTACAAAGTTAAAACACAGATCTCAAACATAAACACACAATTCAGAAAAAAAGATTTAGCTTCTGTATAGTTTTACGCAAGTTCAACATAGGTTAGTTTTCAATATTTTACAAGGTACAGAAAAAATAGTTCAAAGTCTTTTTTTTAAATAAAGAGCATCAAATGTTTAAACATATATATACATATATAAACAATCCAGTTTGCCTTGTGAAAACTAAATTTCACATCTTTTAAATTAAGATATAAAAGTTCACACAATTAGTCAATGCACATGGATATGGTTTTAATTTATATTACAGTCTATTGAATTATATTCAATAGTGTTTACCTGGCCAAAGCAGGCAATTTTGTAAACAAAAACAAAAATATCATGAAGTGCCTTACCTCACAGTCTCCCAAGCCAACTATATGACTCTGATCACATCACCTATAACAGGTATCTTCTATGTAACCAATGCTTTGTATGAAGCAAAGCTATTTTCTTTATTTAAAAAAAAGTTCCAAGTAAAAACAAATTTATACCAAAGTTTGTGTGCATTTAAAAGAAATATTAGATATCATTTTGTAAAAACTGAGTGAGGTTTCTAAAAAAAAATTCTTCCAAAAATCCACCCATCTGGAATTTTATATATATACATATATATATAAAATATATATATATATGTATATAAAGGAAAGATCGTATTTAACAATGTCTTTTCTTTACAGAAACAGCTGCATTAAACACATATACATAAAGAAAGAACTTTACAAAGAACTGTACATTAGGTGGCTGAAGGTTCACCAGTGGATATCAGCATCCTCATCCGGACGCAAGAATTCTATTGAGGCTCCCAACGACTGTAGCTCACTTGCATATTCTACCAAGTCCAACAGTTCCTTGCTTTCTGGATTAAAAGCTTCTAGATCCTTTTGGCAAGAGAACAGCTGACTCTCTGAAACCTGTCTGAAAAATTCTGCTTCCGTGATGCTGACAACTTCTACATTTGGGAAACTGCAGCGAAATATCCGGGGTGACATTTTCAGCCTCTTTGCTACATCAGAAAGCAATAACCAGTTTCGTGGCCTATAGAACAAAGGAAAATAAAAGCGGTCCAAATTACAGAGAAGATAACACAGAGGTTTCTACCACCACCGGACTATGTCAGTAATGAGTTTGCATAACTGGAACAGTTGCATTCCACTTGTCGCAACCATGACAATAGCCTGACTTCAGGCAAACAGATTAGAAACAGCCCAGTCTATATCTGTACCAGTGTGTGAACACGCAACACATACATTTCGGATAGCAGTTAACCAGCACTGTGTACCCAATTTGGACTTTTCAAATTTATTAGTATGTTTCTTAAGAAATTCATTGACAGGAACTGGATCACTTAAAACTAGTTCTGAAACAAAATCTGCATCTGAACCAGGGAAGGGCAAAGTATGGCCAAAAGATCACACGTGGCCCCCAAATGACATCTTTGGGGCCCACCAAGGTTCCCAATAGATCTCCATTTTTTAAATGGCAGGACAGTTAATTTTGAAAACAGCTACCTTCTGCTCTGCAGTTTCCACTCTATTGGCTTGGGAAGGTCCCTTGAGACCTCTCTCTTACACACATATACACCCCAGAAAAAATAAAAACTGAAGTGCACTTGCTGTTTATTTATTTCTCTTTTTTTGGTCTTCTTTTGGTGGTTCCTTGTGATGCACGGAGTGGGTTAGGGGCACAGATTTGGGTTTCTAAGCCATCTGAGACTGCCCCCCCAGATAAACTAAATTAGCACATACAAGATGCATACATACACAGGCAGACTAGCAGCTGATCCCATAAAGCGTAGTCTGTTTTCACGTTTTATAAGGACTGGTCTGCAGGGAAAAGGCTAATTTTTACACCCAATGTATCAGAATCATGCAAACTAATGACAAGCCTGAATGTTCACCATTTTTCACCAGTATGAATTATGTTCACCATATGAATTATGATGATCCTTACCCCTGAGAAAGAGACACTTGGATGTTGTAACATGGCAACAGAGGTACATCTGAGAATTCAAACTCAAAGATATCACTAAAGCCATCTTCATCCTCATCACTCGGACCAGGTGGACTGGATAAGATGTCAAAACCCGACTCACCTTTTGGTTCTGTATTTAAAAATAAAAAGAACAAATGGAAAGCACTGTAAAAGATAACACTGTGTATCTTGCTCTCTTCTGCTTCTTCCCACTTCCTATGCATACACAGAAACACACACACAGAAACTCCCATGCATAATTCAAAAGGGAATGTTTACTTACCACACACAGAGCTGCCATAAAAGTCCCAGTACAAACCAGGGTCATTGAAACCTCGACCTTGCAGGTCAGCGAAATACTCTAGAGAAAACAAGAACAACAAACATTGAGCCAAAACAAAATCAAAAAGAAAAGGTATGCTTTTCAGAAAAGTCTGTCACAATATTTCTGAATAAATCTGAATGCAAACTTCTCAAACACACACACACACACACACACACACACACACACACATATACTAAACACAACACACCACAACCCGCCATGCCCCTACAGATGTCCAAATGAGACACCGCTCCTTTTCTCACTTCCTCTTCAAAAAAACACAACACAACACAACCCGCCATGCCACTACAGATGTCCAAATGAGATACCGCTCCTTTTCTCACTTCCTCTTCAAAACCCTTCTCATTTCTGTCTGTCACTACTGACCCTTCCCACTTCCTGCCCTTAGTACTTTCATTCTGCATTCTCCAGAAACAGAATCTGAAGGCTTTCGAATTTACCTACACTATGGAACTCCTCCTGTCACAACACAACCCGCCATGCCACTACAGATGTCCAAATGAGATACCGCTCCTTTTCTCACTTCCTCTTCAAAACCCTTCTCATTTCTGTCTGTCACTACTGACCCTTCCCACTTCCTGCCCTTAGTACTTTCATTCTGCATTCTCCAGAAACAGAATCTGAAGGCTTTCGAATTTACCTACACTATGGAACTCCTCCTGTCCAGGTATGTGCACTTGACACCTTCGCATTTTCTTTTTGGAGAAAATTAGTCCTGTTCAGTATCACTTTTAGTGGAATTTATTCTGAATTTTTAAGGAACTTGACTGCTCTGCTTATATTACACTTCATTGTTCCTAACTAGTGTTTCACTATTTTCAAACTGCTCCTTGCTATGTTATTATTGCTTTTTTTTTTTAAGCCACTTCAAAACCCAAACAAACAAGGCCCATAAAAGTATACAGGGCAACAGTGCAAAAATGATTTCAGAATTTTTAGCTGCACCAGAAAGGGGAATGGCAAGGGGGGCATACTTAGGAGAATAGTCGAAAACATTTTATTACATAACATAGTGGTTCAATGTTTATATTATGCTTTGCAGTCTAATAGTGCAACCGTGCATTTCTATTATAAGCGAACAAATTCACCTCAATTTTATCTCTGAACGTTGCTAGAAAATTTGGGGTGAGGGGGATTTACAGCATTGCATCACAACCAATAAAAACTCTTATGGCAAAGACCTTTCTCTTCAGGCAAGCTTTTCCTTAATGAATGGCTGTCTGAGAGAGGATTTTGAATGGGTTGTTGTGCTCTGCTGCTTTTAAATGTGTTTAAGTTTTGATTTTAATTACCATTTTTAATATAATACTCGTGTAATTCTTTTTTTAATATTTGTATGCTTACTGCTTTTAGCATTAATACATTGTCATTTAAATGATATAAGCTGCCTTGAGTCCTTTCAAGGAGAAAGATGGGATAAAAGTACTGTATTTTAAATAAATACAAATAATGATAAATAAATAATAGTACCTTAAAAACTACAGACATAGGCTACTGCTGATTAAAGCTTCCACTAAAATAAAATGTGTTGTTTTGTAGGATGCCACAAGTCTTTATATTATATTCAGTAAAAAAAAAAACCACTGCAAGAAAGCAAGAATTTTCATAATGAAATAAGCAACAAAATAGTACACACCTTTTAGAAACGTTTCCATAAGTTCACTGTGGGTCATTTTCCCAATTGTTCTACCTGAGTATGTAGCAAGTGTGGGATCAGCTCCATAAGAAAGTAGCAATCGGACAATTTCTAGGTGGTCATTTTCCACAGCATCATGGATAGGCCTGGAGGGGTGTAGGGTGGGAGTGTGTGGAGAGAAAGAAATATCTTATTTTAAACTCTTGTTTTCATTTAAACCAACAAATATTAACTTTGTTTTTACTGTGAAATACGATAGATGACCACTGTGCTAACATTTTAAAATAAGAACGTCAATAAAGGCAACTAACATAATATACGTGTTGCACACAGATACTATATTAAACTATATGCTCTGCTTAGAGACAGGACATTATTAACCGTTAATCACCATTGTGGCACTTTGAACAACTGTCCAGAGTAGATATGTTCTAGATGGGTGGTATATAAGTCTAATAAACAAACAAACACGTTTGATTTCTCTTGCTTTCCTTCCATCTGTTTAAATAAACACTGTTTTGAACAACAATTGCATTCTGTAGAGCTGGCATATTTGGTGGCAAAGAATGTGAGTGTAAACAATAGCTGGTGCATTCACAAAACAGGACTCGCATACATATTCAACTTGCAAAATGATATTCCTCAAAAAACCAAAACAATTTTATGTCTTAGTATTTTATAATCTGCTATAAAGCTACAGCTATCACTGTAGTAAAGATTCAAAAATGTGCAAAAATTATTACAGGCCTCTGCTTTGTGACTCAAGGGGAAGGGACACTCACAGGTGTATATAACATTTATTAGCTGAAAACCTGACAAATGCTTTCTGACAGCTGTAACTATAAATGATGCAACTGGAAGCTATAACACTTTGTATAATTTCTGCAAATGTATTTGAATGAACATAAATATCATACATACAGATATACTCCAAAGTACTGACAAATAAATATCAGCTCTTCAGTGGCTAGAAGTAGGAGTGCATGAATCAGAAGGTGAATTTACCCTGGTTATAACAATGTTAAATTGCTTTATCTAAATGGCAATTCAAATTAGAATCCTGACAATGAAGCCAAAGGGCGGTTTTCAACTTTTCATATTCATATTTCAGAAATACTCTCAACAAAATGGAATGCCTGTGTGTGCATGCGCATGGCTGGTCCACTCGCTGAGCACCTGAAATACCTTCTGTAAGTGCTAGTTCTGATAAAGGAGACTTTAGGAGAGTTTTAGTTTTCAGATTACAGCCACAAACATCCCAGAGATTCTGAGAGTTGTCATCTTCACATTTAACTTTTCAAAGTTCTGTGTTAGAGGCACTGAACCGCCATTCTGATTTTTATTAGGCCTAGGCTAACTAATTAGAGGAAGGCAGAGAGTTACACATCAAGAAATGGAGTTTGACAGGTCAAAAGAAAAAGCAAAGGAGCATCAGTCAGTTTTCCTAGAGCTCTATGATTGGGTCAGGGTCGGGAGGGTGCAAGCACTCACTCCTTCCCCATCTCAGAGTCTGTCTGTGATTATGTATTAGTAAGAGGAGACCCCCTCTATCACCCAAAGACACTGTTTCCACCACCACCACCACCACCTCCACTTGTCTGTGAAGAAAGGGCAGAATATACAAAAGTTGCATTTTTGAACAACACCTCCTAGGCTGGGTGATTTGGATAAATATAATCAAAAAACACAAACATCTGCTATACAGTGCATTTACAAAAGTCTTCAATGTTTGCCTCAATCTACGCAGTCAAACAAATAGCTTATCCAGGTTCTGAGTCAATCAGGACTACAGCAAGATTACATGGACAGTCCTGAGTCCCATTGTTGTGAGAAGGGCAAGGCACTGAATGGAGGAAGGAATGTGCTGTAGGCAAAAGCAGTAATGCTGAAAATTAAGCAGATAATCTGTAACAACTTGAAAAGGCGTTTACCCCAACACAATGGAGTAATGCTTATGTTTTACGTAAGTATTTCTGTAAGTGACTATGTCTTTTAGATTGGTAGAGTGCAAGTCTCTGTCTGAATCTGTGTGTGTGTGTGTGTGTGTGTGTGTGTGAGAGAGAGAGAAAGAGAGAGAGAGAGAAGGAAAAGCTGCCTGTACAGTTTAGACTGGTCATCATCAACATAAAAACGTGTCTGAGAATGGGAACAACTTTGTGCAAGCTTGGTGTCCCTGTGTAAGTTGAGGCAGTTGTGGGGAACTCTGGCAGCTCCAGAAAGGACAACATTTTCCCAATAAACTTGAAAGACCAAACTTTAATGTGTGTTATCTCTCCATGTTGAAGAACAGAACAGATCTGATGATGCAGACTACAGTTCACAAAAGCTGATGCCAAAGAAATCCTGTTAGTCTGTAAGAGGGCACAAGGCTCCTTCTTGCTTTTGCGGCAACAGGCTACATGCCTGGAAATTCCAGATTCCACAAGGCCTGCACACCTGCTTGGGCTAAACCGGGGAGGCACTGAGAGACCCCCGCTATGCTCATGTTGATTCCTCCTGAGGAGGCAGAATTATGACTGGGACTGTCCTGAAGGCTGCGGGATTCTGCTCTACTCCCATCTTTCTTCGTCTCCCTGCCTACAGAGATCACATCGCTCAGAGCAGCAGCTGCCTCTCCCAGGCGGCCGCTTCATTCATCCTCCCACCAGCCTCACAAGCTGCAAGAACCGCTTCCTCTCTCAGCTGCTGCAGGCGGCCAGCACAGGAAGCAGCTGCTCTTTAGGCCTCTAAACCCAATCTTCTACAAACACACACATACACACACGAAGAGAGAGAGAGAGAGAACCAAAGTTGTCTGGGTTTTCTAACCCCACTGACAGCCATCATCTTAGTGTAAGATAGCCAAGGGGCAAGAAAGATAGGACAACAATATAGATTCATCCATAAACTTCAAATTCTAAAAAAAGCAATAAGAAAAGACAGAAGTAGTACGAGAGGTGGGTGGGAAATACGATAGCAGAATGCCCCATATACCCTGCCAAAATAACCTAGAGCAAATATCTCGCTAGGTAATATTGGAAGCAGAGGTTAGACAACTTAATGTTTGGAGCTCTGGAGATTCTGGGGGTTGTAGTCCAAAAAAGTAACTTTTTATGAACTATAATTGGGTCACGCTAATGGATCACAGAGCTCATTATGCTTGTTCAGATTTCTGAGTAGTGTATATAAACCATGCAGGAAATTAAGCAGACATATAGGAAAGCATAGTCCACCAGATGCTCTTAGACTACAATTCCCAGCATACACCCTTGGCTATTCCGGCTAGGGCTACTGGAAGCTGCAGGCCAACAACATGTGGAGGGCTGCACTTTGCCCTGAATCATTCACCAGCAAAGACAGTTCACATGAGAGGTGAAATCTCCTGATCGCATTTTTAATATCTCCACACAAGACTTCCCAGAAAAACATTGGTTATCAACCATGAGAAAAAAGCCACCGCCAACCCAGATAGTAAGTCTTCTAATTAAAAAAATGCCGCAACAGGATATTATTTCCTTACAGCAGACCCAACACTAAGGGAAAAAAAATAGGGAGACATGTTGGCATGCTTCTCTCTTGAAGAAAAATTGGATAAATCTATCTGCCAAAGTGACAGCTGTCCTTGGGGGAAGGGGGGGCAGAGACTGAGAAAGAGAAAGGGAGCAAGAAGGAATGTGTTAGCAGACTAGAGTCCAAATAACTTGCCTTTCTGGACAGCTCTCAAAATAAATACAATTGTTTGGGCTGAAAAAAAGGAAAATCAGCCCAGCACTATCATGGGACCTGTCCGCTCAGTGTAAACATAACATGCTTGAAACCTGTCCATCAAAATATGTCAATATTCAATTCCATAATTGTTAACCTTTACAGTTGATCACACAATCAGGCTCTAATGAGGCATGCTGTAAGAATATAGGTAGCTGCCTTGTACAGTACTTATTCGGACCACTGGCTCACCTAGCCCAATACAGTCACCTCTGGGTGGCATCAGCTCTCCAGAACATATCTCTTCCTAGCCCTACCTGGAGATACCAGGGTTGGAACATGGGACAATTCTGCAATGCCAAGTATGTGCTACGCCACTGAGCTACTGCCCTTTCACAGTCAGACGCACAGGAGGTCATCACTGCTGTTTCAGCCCCAGACCAAGAACATCAAAGATCTACTTAAAAACACTGAGTCACTGAGTATCAGAATGATTGTTGCATTTCTGTTGTACAAATGTGTTTATTATGTGTCATAATCTAAACACAATAAAAGTACAGAGTATCTAATTCACCATCTGAGCTATCCAGCTGGGAAGCCCTGCCCCCAAGAAGAAGAAAGGAAGGAATTTAGTCTTTCTAGAAAGTCTGCAAAGAGGAATCCGAGCCTGGTCTTGCAGCAAAGGTGTTCCTCACTTCCAAGGCCACGGCAGAGAAGACTCAGAATGTGCCCCTTCACAGATAAGATATTTTGAAATGTATTAGCAAAGTGTCTCCCACAGATACATCTTCCTTATCATGAAGGCTAGCGAAGTGTGGCCTTAGGACTACGTGGAAACCCCCAAGACTGGTCGGAGGTACATAGGCCTAGCTCCCTCACTTAAAAATTGATTCCCTCCCCCCTCCATGAAAAAAGCAAACTGCTTTTGGAACTATATTCACTTTTAAAATAGATCAAATTGGGTCACCTGCTGCCCTGTAGTGCTTTAAACCAAAAATATCATTTTTAATAATCCAGATGTAGGCTTCTGGCCATATCCAGCTTCATTCTTTTTAACCTCCTGTTTTCTGTGTTTTGGCAGACCATGCAGCTCCTGAAAGATCTAAAAGCTAGACAACTGTCCCTGAAAGATACCCACCCTCATCTTATGGGAGGGGGCCACAGGGATCAAAATGTTCTCTGAGCTAGGTGCAAGATAAATAAGGCTGACAACAGAGTGTGGACGGTTTACTACTATTTTTTGAAAATTCAACTACAACTCCCAGGATCCCTCAGCCACACTGGCTGAGAGAGTCTGGGAGTTGTGGTTTTAAAAGATAAGCTATTCAAGCTCTGGCCAGAGTTATTATACTCATAAGGGTTAAAACACATAACTCTACAACGTGATTTGTACTGGAGGTATGTACATTCATATTTTTGGACTACAACTCCCGGCGCAGGGCTTGAACTTCCATATTTCCAACTTGTATAAGTGGCAGCATCACACAGGCCCCATCCAGCCATGCTGAGTGAGACTGTAGTTCAATGGGATTTCCATTTCTCTCCAACCACTATGCATGATAACAAATTGGGCTTTAGTGGATTTTTTCTACCAACCAGTACACCTTAGCTTTCCTGACACAAAGACTGCTAATGTTTCTGCTACCCTAGCCAAATCAAGAGTTTATGTCCTTCAAACAAGGCACGGGACTAATCTCCAGAGATTAAAACCGAGCTTTTATCCACAGAGAGGGGAGACCATAAACTGATTCCTTCACACTTCTGTCCTTCACTGAATCAGCAATTTCTATTTTGCATGTTGATCTGTCTAAAAAGTGACAATGCCCATAATGTCTACCCAGTGAGCATTCTGCTTTCTCCCCATTACTACAAATTCTGCACCACCTGGTCTTGAAGAGTAGTTCTGGGAAACTACAATCTCAAAAAAATAAAATAAAAATAGGAAAACATGAGAAAAGGCTTTGCCTTTTTAGTAATCCAACAAATGTATTTCTCATATGTGAATTTTGTTTCTACTCATAGATCACAAAACTTTTTGCTTTTCTAAATTTGCCTCTAAAATAAAAGTGTGTTCACCCCTAATTTTTCAGACTGTTCCTTCCCCAATTAATCAAAATGCTTCTATAGAACTGATGAGGTGATAATGATGGAGTGCTCAGCAGTTTCTAACAGGCTTTGTTTCTTACTGAGATCTTCCAGCTCTTGCAAACTGATATGTAAAGGACAATAATTAAAAGGCCATCCCCTTACAGGAATGCTGATTTTACATCCCTGGACTGTTAGGTTTGGTGATAAGTGATAAAATATGCAAGTGAAAGGGCTCCAAGAACGCTTCCCATCTTAATACAGTAATTACTTTAAAGTATAAGAAATTTATTATGGCATAAGGTTCTGCCACAATGTGTTAATCCATAAGTGACACAAGAACTTGTGGCTCAGAAAGTTTTTGCTGGTAAGTGGTTAGAAGAAGATGAATAGATACAGTTATTGTTAGCAGATAAATTGCTTTCTTGCTTCCACTTCATTAAAAACAATTCTAAAAATGAAATTACGCATTACACTGTGCTTTCTCATATTTTACCTGAGGGCTTCTTCCTGTCTTTTGAACAAAAATAAGATATTTAAAAATGGATACAGGTGGTATATATTGCCTCTATGGAGCAGTTTGATAAAACTGCATGAGAACCTACAAAAACATCAACATTTTCCTTTTTTTTAAAAAAAAATCAGACATATAAAAAATTTAAATGTACTATAATGCAGGTGAGTCTGGGTAGAATGAATAAATATCGGTTATTCTTGTATTGATGTTTATAATGATGATATTTTTAAACCACTCAGAGTGGCCTTGGTAGTCAAGCAGGCAGTATAAAAATCAAATCAAATCAACCAATAAATCAATCAATAAACAAGCAAGTAAGTAAGCATCCAAAATTAATACAAAGTAGTATTCAGGATGACTGAAGAAGAGTTTCTCTACTATGAGAACATCACATTCAGAGGCTAACCACCTGGTCCTGTGCTGCTCCAAAGGCTTGCTCTATTCAGTTTAGTGTAATTCAGATCTGAGCGACCACAGCTAGACTTGCAAACTTAATTGTACCAAAGAATAACACGGCATTCTTTGAGGAGTCAAAGTTTACACAGTTCATAGCAATTAGCAAGCTACATCATTTATAAGGCCAAAGTCTGAGAGACTTTAGACCCTCATGCATTTGGAGAAATATGCTATTTCTTTAAACATGATTTAAAACCCACTGGCAACTTGAACCCAGCTGTGTGTTAACATGGTACAAAAACAGAGGCGATTCAGTCTTAGTAACCAGTGTTGCTAACCTAGTTCCATCCTGAGCGCTGCAGTTAACGTCCGCTCCATATTCTAGGAGATGTCTCACAATGCTCAGCCAGCCTCTGGCACAGGCCTCATGCAGGGCACAATAACCAGCATTGTCACGATGATTTACATCACAGACTTTGTTTTCCAAACAATACAGAACCACTTCCTGGAAAAGAGAAGCAGGAGAAAACAGACCAAGTTGTTTGTTGCTATGGAGACATGCATACCTTTACTTTTAACATGCAGGGGATATCCCTCTGATTAGGCTATTAACTAGTTACAAAGGAAAGAAGGAAACCACCATAAAGCTCTCATTTCACACAGAGGTGGCAAAACTCTGAAAAACAAAAGGAGCCATTAACCCAAGCAGATGACTAGGATATCCCAAACAGAACTGGCTCTATAGGCAGCTTTTGACTAGATCAGCTGCACCTCATCCCACCCATGATATTTTGAACTGAACACTCCCCCAGTCCAGATTCCAACTAAGCATACAAATAAACATGATTACATAATTGAATAAATTGCCTTCAAATAACAACTCACACATGCCACAAGCACTGTCAAAGACCCTTTCAAAAATGTTTCTTTCTGCTGTTGTTCAAACTGAGCTGCCTTCTTGTCTCTCTGATAATACCAAAATGTTAAGTCCTCTTGGAGAATGCTGCAGCTAATCTCTCCTTCTAACTCATCTGTGCCTTGGATGTTTCCTGGGGTTCAAAATTTACTCCTCTACTATAATGTGCACAAACATTCCCCATACAGAGACATGGAGTCGTTACACTGGGAATTTCCCACTCTCTCTTTCCCCAAATCAAACCACTGGCAAAGGAGAAGAAACAGCATTTTGATGTTGCATTTGCACAGGGAGTTTCTGTGCAATTCAAATGCAAGATGGAAATTCACCATGAGAAAAAGTCTTGTTCCAGACAGAGCCTAGAAAAGCTCATCTCTTTTTTTGGACCATTGTTGTTATCTTGTTTTGCAATATAGGGATCACACAGTCCCTCTCTTACAGCAGCTCCACTGACTATAAGATGTCTCTTTATACTCATTCTTAGCTTTAAATACTATATGTTAATGATGTTAACCACTGTCCTATATTCATTATTTTCAACTTTAAATATTGTCTTTAATTGTTGTAAGGTGTCTTGGAGAAAAGTGGGATAAAAATATTTTAAATAAATAAATATAATTTCCAACTTTTGGATTACAGCTCCTCAGATTCATCATCCAGCATAGCCTTGAGTTATAGATATGGTGTAAATCAGACTACAGTGCTGCCTCATTTGATGAGGATAATTTGTTCCGTTCAAATCGCTGTTAAGCGAAATCTTTGTCAAGCGAAATTAAAAACCCATTGAAATGCATTGAAAACTGGTTCAGTGCATTCCAATGGGTGCTCGTTTTGCGAAGATCCTCCATCGGGTGGCCATTTTCCGGTGCTTGTAAAGCGAGGAATCCGTCCTAAAGCATAGCAGGGAGCCATTTTGCATAGCAGGTGGCCATTTTAGAGCCGTCTATCAGCTGTTTTAAGATAGTCATCTAGCGAAAAATCGGTTCCCGAAGCAGGGAACTGATCATTGTTAAGCGATTTTTCCCCATAGGAACATCATTTTGCGATTGCAATAGCGATCGCAAAAACTTCACTGTGAAGCGGTTTCGTCGTTTAATGAGGTAATTGTTAAGCGAGACACGACTGTATTCACTACTGCTTTTGTCTGAAATATTCTCAAAGAACTGAGAGAGTTTCTTTCCTTTCCTGACAGAACTGAGATAACTTAATGGAGATAAGAATTCCTCACCAACCAAAATAGCAGACTAGGAATTTTTAGGCTACTTTGCAAAAGTGGGAATCTCTAAACTCAATCAAACTGGCAGCGAAAAGTGCCATGCTGGCTCAGAAATTCTGGGAGCTGTAGTCTGAAAAGGAGGTTTTTTGAATTCTGGCCGTTCTCTCCTGGTCCTAAGAGCAGCAAGCTGGAACTAAGAGAATCAAAAAGAGTGAAAGTCACGAGAGGGGTCATTTGTGAAAAAGCTCCTACTTTCCTTCAGCCACAGTCTAGGTGATAACTACTATGATGTGCCAGCTATGCAGGAAGCCAGTCAGCGAGAGCCATTGTCAATTGGGTAATTTTAAACTGATTAAACTAAGTTTGAGCATATGAAGCCACCTTATACTAAAGTCTGCTTGGCATGTATTGTATTCTCCACCTTTTTCCAACTTGGCACCCTGTAGATGTTTAGCCTTCTTCCTGACCATTGGCCATGCTAGATGAGACCAAAGAACTTCAGCCAAAACATCTGAGTGAAACCAATTTGGAGAATGCTGGTCTACTCTGATGGGAAAAGATAAGATTCTCAAGGACTTCAGATAGATCTTTGTCAGCAGTACTGCCATTGTTTGTAAGTTAAACAGATTGAAGCTTAGTCTCCTCTGTGTACAAAACATGTGCTAGGCCTAGGGGTGGCAAGCCTTTGGCACAACAGATGTTTTCAACATCAGCTCCCACAATCCTTAGCCTGTGCTGCCAAAGATAAAGAGCTGTGGGAGTCATAGTCCAAAACATCTAGAGTGTCAAAAGATCACCATCACTACAGTAGGCCACTGAGCTATGGGGCCCTCCCATAGTTTGGCTTTTGGACTTTATGAAAACTTCAGTAGTCATTAATTGTGAAACAATGGGTGATACAGTATTTGCCCATGTTTCAAAGTGTCAATGAAAATTTTCTTAGGTTTTCCACATGTTCTTGCTTAACTTCCATTCATTCAATTTGCACAAAAATCCCTGATGGACTGCACCCATTCTGAAAACAGCTTCTTGCCACAGAACTGGAGAAGTTCCCAGTGGATTTTATCCAGTGTCATTATCCATGAAATGTAACAATGTACAGTTTTATGGTTAATTAATTAAATGCCTCATTAACTCTTTAAACATGATTTATTCAATTCATAGAAATTTCAGCCCTCTCTGTTGAATTCCAGAACATGTGGCTGACAGCACATCACTAGCTTGGATATGAAAGTGGAGATATGTTTGCCAGGGCATGCAAAGGCGGGGCATGGGGGGGGGGGGGGAATCACAAATGCCTGAGAAAAACAATTTAGATCTATATGCCTGAGTAGAACAATTTAGATCTATGATCCTGTAATTTGTATATATGCTGTCACCAAGTAAGATTTTTAAAATTCCAGCTAATATTTAAAGTGATATTCTGAGTAAATGCTCTGTTCACTGACTCTGAAGCCTACTGGCTAGATTACATGTGTCATATTTATGTACCTCTGCACAGTTTATACGATTCACCATAAATTTCACCTGAATTTCTACCAAGTAAATCTGCCCCAAACTATCTTCAATGTTTTTGTGTAAAAGTGTAAGTGCGGGGCGGCGGGGGATGGTGGTGGTAGGCTGCTCTAATTATGGACAGACAGAAAGAGATGTACTCTTGATTAGTGAAAACAGAAATGTGTTTAATGTGTATGTGTGAATAGGTCTTCATTTGCTGCTTTAGTACAATGGCAAACTGCCTTTGTAGATCCATGTTCCAAGAGTATGGATCCACAGCGCATTCTGTGTACCATCCCTTATCCATGCCAGCAAAGAAATCACTGAAAGAATAATGTGCCTAAAGTCTCTTTACAGCGCAAAGAGCCAGCCCTGTCACAGTGATTTACATCACAGGCCTTGTTTTCCAAACAATGCAGAACCACTTCCTGGAGAAAGAGGGGAAGGGTGGGGAGAAGAAACTGTTTGTTGCTATGGAGATACCTTTAACATCAGAAGCTGTCACTTCAAGAAAACAGGGAGGGGAAGGCACATCCATTCAGGAAATATTTCAGTTCAAAACTGAGGGAAGGTATGGGGGCATGTTCCAAAGGGATTTCTCCTAGAAAAGCCTCCAAAAGGATTAGAAGGGCATTTGGAAATGCAAAGTCTCTGAATGAATAGCTCTTGTGACCAAAGTATCAAGACAGACTACAAACTCTCCTAGGCTGTGCCTGTAAAGCAGTCTACAAAGCAAATCCCATTCCTCTGGGGAAACCTGGTAGGAAACGTCAGATTTCCTGTATACAATCCTACCCTGCCCCCATTCATTCATTGCCTTGAGGAGGATGCTCCTGCATTGTACGAAGGGGAATGCTGGAAACCCACGCAAGTAGGAACATTATTTTTAAAAAATTACAAAGCCTACACAAAATAAAAACTTACGCTTTTTATTCCCTTAAAATTAAAAAAAAATTCCCTGTTGAACTTTACTCAGAAAATGAAGGAAATGAGAGTTTGCCAGCAAGTCTCAAAACTTCACCATATTATGATCTGTTCCGTTTGGCTTCCTATTAGCAGATTGACCGTTATCTCATGTTGAGCCTTTGAAACAGGAAGGTCATTCAAAGGACTGCATCTGCACACCAACGTATGTGTACTGAGCATCAAACTAGATCTGATGGCAGAGGACATACAGTATTTAAATATGCATTTATCCATATGACGTATGAAGGCTATTGCCTTACATATAAAAGGTAATCTCTTCCAATTCAATAGAAAAAGCTATGTACAGGTGATGAACGCAGAATCTTTGGTGCACCCATGACTTATCTACTAGTACTTGTTCTCCATGGCTGACGTCAGATACGCAAACTCTGTTCAGCAGTATGTTCTTTGGAAGGGTAGTAAGAGAGATACAGTTTCTGCATCCTTCAGAACCCAGCCTAGGATTTCCCTACTCACTGTAAAAATAGAGGCGTTAACCCCCTTTTTAATGAATTGAAGCAGTTCCATGATGTCTACCATGTCTACCATGACTAGTTTGTCTTTCCTTCAGCATACATGATGAAAGGAAAGGAGAATTGTTCCTAGTAGAGATAAATCTATTCCAGTTTGGATTTGTAAGCAAACTAGTCCAGCCAATTCCCAAACTAATATGCAGGTCAGAACACAGAGCTTACATACAAGAGCTTTCTTTTTTTTTTTTCACTTCCAGAGACGATTCACAGATCAAAAATAAGCCCAAAGGTGCAAAGGGAGAAATATATATAAAATATACACAGTAGAAGCAGAAAATATGAAGATAAGTGTGGTTATGATACAGAAATTGGATGGAATAAGCTTACGACTGATTACATGCAAACATGACACAGACCAGATGTGGCTTGATTTGAACATCACTAGTTCCTAAGGTCATGTAGGGCAGTGGTCCCCAACCTTGGGCCTCCAGATGTTCTTGGACTACAACTCCCAGAAACCTCCACCACCACCTGTGCTGGCCAGGATTTCTGGGAATTGAAGTTCAAGAACATCTGGAGGCCCACCCAAGGTTGGGGACCACTGATGTAGGGCAAGGCAGAGAGTATAGAAAATCTTACTATCACCTGCCACTACTTTTGAATGCCTCCTCCTTTCCCTTTACACTCTTAATTCAATATAGCTGCTTTATGAGGAATTTTAATTTGGTGTTTGTCACTATTTACTCTGGAAAGGGCCTTCAGCATTGTCCTTATTTGTTTTCACTGAAGCCTTGTGGAATGCAGTTTGAATTAATTAAGCTATGTAATACCCTATGGAAGTCAGACAAGATTCCCACTGATGCACGGCAGCTAGCCATGCACTAAAGAGCTAAAGCACAAAAGTTCAAGTGAGGGTGTTCATCTATACTATTCAAAGAGAAAATGTGTGTCTGTGTGCGCATCTGTTTGTCTAGCAAAGCTCCAAGGTGAGGAAACCTACAACTTGGCATAGATAATAAAAAAGCCCTAGGCATTTGCATCTTGCATTATTGTTTTTAAAATAATTACTGAATTTTGCTTAATTAAATCTGCTTTCAGCCTGCAGTACTATCTGTAAACACTAGGAGCCAGTACAAAATCTCCCCTAGAGACAAATATTGAAGTAGACCTGGGAGATCCAGATTCTTTACAGGGCCTATAGGAAACAGTATGTAGTGCTTTCCTCTGCCTGGCCCCCAACTTATTTAAACAATCAAAGAGAGAGAAAGGGAAAGGAAAGGATTAAGACAGAATAGGGTTATCAAGTACAATGAATAAGAGAACTAGGGGATATAGGCCTAGGACCTGGTTACCTAAAGGACCGCCTTCTTCCATATGAGCCTGCCCATCCTCTAAGATCAGGCCAGGAGGCCCTTCTGACGGTGCCATCCCTGAAAGAGGTGAGGGGGATGGCATGTCGAAATAGGGCCTTCTCGGCTGTTGCCCCCCAACTTTGGAATGCCCTCCCTAGAGAGATCCGCCTGGCTCCAACACTCTTGGCTTTTCGGCGCCAGGCGAAGACCTTTCTGTTCAGCCAGCATTTTAATTAAACAATATTCCCTAGCTGGCCATATGAGCAGCAGGACTTACTAATTTTAATGTTTTAAGAATTATTTTAATATATGCTATTTTATATTGTCTTTTAAAATGTTTTTAATGTTTTTAAGTTTTAATGTTGTACGCCACCCAGAAGCCACTGGCAATGGTGCGGCTAAAAATATTGTAAATAAATAAAATAAAATATAGTGAAAGAAAAACATTTACGAAAGACAATATCCTGCTGTTTACCATTATCTGTCACTACTGTTCATGATGCTTTAGAGCTTCCTGCGAGGATGTGGGGTCCCAAATTTACTCCCTGCAATCCAAGCCTAATGGTGCCACTGCCTTGCAGCACACTTATCTAGGGCAGTGATGGACCTTTTTGAGCCCAAGTCCCCTAACTGGGGGGGGGGGGACAGCGGGTGGCGGCAGCAGAAGCAGAACTGGTGGCAGCAGAAGTGATGGCAGAAGGGAGAATCCAAGGTATGGAGGTGCCTATAGACCCCACTCCAGTCGGGCCCAACCCCCACCAGTGCCAGCTGCTCCGGATCCTGGCTCATTGCCTGTCAGGTCGCTAGCACCATGGCTGCAGCTGCCTCCTCAGTTTTGGCTGTCAGGGGTAGCAATCCAGTGACTTATGGCTCGTGTGCCCACAGAGAGGGCTCTGCGTGCCCGCTGTGGCATGCGTGCCATAGGTTCACCGTTGCTGATCTAGGGTGTTTCTTCTATTACTAGTGTGAGGAAGGGGGTAGATGGGCATGGAGATTATCAGATTTGGTCCCCCAGGAGATGAAAGACTATATGATCACACACATACATATACCGTATTTTTCGCACCATAAGACACACTTTTTTCCCACAAAACAGGGGGGGTGGAAAGTCTGTGCATCTTATGGAGCGAAGAAAACAGATATTTTCCTGTTTTCTTCTCCTAAAAAATTGGTGCGTCTTATGGAAAGGTGCGTCTTATGGAGCAAAAAATACGGTATATTCCTCCAAAGCTTCCCACCTCTTGTAGGAACCATTATCCTTTGAGAGGTTAGCAGCGGCACAACCACAAAATGCCAGAAAGCCTCCTTAAGCTGACAGGCAACTTTGCCAGATCTGATTTAAGGGGTGTTGACTGGATGCCTTATTGGGCTACAGCTAAATGATTACTATTCTCAGACCGTATGTTTCCATATAACAAATGCTTATTGGACACAAGTACTGCTCATGGTTTTCTACTTTTCTCTCTCTGATAAAATGCAGAAAATATTTTTTTTTATTAAACTAGCAATCCAATTATGCAGTTAAGGAACAGGAGTACAACACTGTCTATTGCCAATTAAATCTACAGCCTGAAGCATGCTTCACTAAGCTTTTGGTTCTGTATGGTGTTATATCGCCCTGTTGCCCAAGAGGTACTATATACCATTTAGATATATTTGCTACGTTACTCAGCCTTTCACAATGAACTCATCTTGAATCCACTTGGCTTCACCTTCCTTTTTCATCCAGGAAATAGGTATAGAGTAAGCTGACTGTCTCTTGATTAAATCTTACAACAGATCTGTTATGGGTTATTTTTATTTAAATTATCACTTATTTTTGACTGAAGTGTGTAAGATCTCATGTTCTGCTACTGGCGAAAGTACAGTAAATGGATTTTTCTTCTTAAAATACCTCTTCCTTGCAAAGACAAGTCTTTATATTTTGCACTTTCAAACAGTAGTGCCATTTCCCTACGCAACGTCCCAATGACTGCAGAAGAATTTTTCCAATAATTCATATCTGTGACTTGCAGTCATCCATGGACGACTATTTTCACTTTATAAATGAATTTCCTTGGCCAATGAAGTCCATGGCTCTTAGACATTCGCTCTGAGCAACACTCTGTACTTTCCAAATGTAAGAATGATTCCAAAAAGGCATTCATAAACTGAAAATAAAATACAGTGGTGCCTCGCTTAACAATTGCTTCGTATAACGAAAAATGCGCTTAACGATTTTTTTCGGAGCGATCTTGCGCTTCGTTTAACGATTTTCCCTATGGGCGATTTTCGCTTAACAATGTCGGGACCATGCTTCGCTTAACGTTTTTGGTTTTAGGTCCCCTTGTTTCGCTTAACATTTTTTTTACAGCCCCGTTTTCACTATTTTAAAAATATTTTAAAATGTTTACAAAATGTTTAAAATGCTTGGAATCGTTAGTGCACCTAATAAAACCTTCGTTAACTTAATTTGGCTTTGTTCTGAGTCTTTTTGAATTTTTTGTGAATTTCCCCCCCATTGAAATAGGCTTCAATGCATTTCAATGGAGGAACCGCATTTCGCTTAACGTTTTTTCCTATGGCGATTTTCGCTTAAGGACGGTAATCTGTTCCAATTGGAACGGATTATCCGGTTTTCAATGCATCTCTATGGGAAATGGTGTTTCGCTTAACGATGTTTTCACATAGTGATTTTTTTTGTGGAACCAATTAAAATCGTTAAGCGAGGCACCACTGTATTTGGGAGCAATTCAAGAATGGAACAGATCTATACTCTGGCAGCACCAAAGCTGTGTAAGTCATTAACCCTTCTTAAATTCAGCATAGGTGTTCCTTTAGCCTCTGTCTCAATGCACATATTCCCTACATATCCCTCTGTTTCTCCCTCAGGATTCCAATCCTGCAATCGCTTCATGCCCTGAATTCTTATTGGCAATGACAGGTTGAAGTTTACAGAAGTTTATACAGCTTCTCTTCTCACCCCACTCACAAAATATACTAATTGTGTGCTTGAATGAATAAACAGAACAGAGAGCCTTGAGATATTTCATCATGTTGAGAAGGAACACAAAGGGAGACTTGAAGCATGTGCACAATGAGAATCATATGTGACACTAAGCATCTCCTCCTATTTTAATTCAGAGTACTGAACTTCAAAAAACAAAGCTTGCCTCGTATCCCAGTCGAGCTGCCCTTTGCAGAAGAGTTTCTCCAGCATTCTTATTGACAATAAGCCTTCGGGCTTCTGGCGGCATGGGACGACTTGGGGTAGTCTCCTGAGTGGGGCTTGCAATCTGCAGCTGTGAGGGCTAAAGAGAGAGGCAATAATGAGGGAGCCTGTTACTGGTGCTGGTAATAGTACAGTGCCAACTCATGTGATCTGACTGGTGAAGAATCACCTTCTGAAAGGACCTCTGGCTGCTTCTAGATTCTCCTCATTAATTATGACCTGTTTAAAATGATAACTATATTCCACAACCCATCCACTGTTAATAACTTGTTAGCCTCTCGTTGAGACAATAACCATAACAGTAACATCACCTTCTGGATTAATACCATCTGAAAGTTTGAGGCCCAAATCCTCAAAGAATGGTCTGTTTACAGAAAGTCACCTGGTGGCAGATAATTTGTCCTGGACTGAAGTGAACAGAGTACTACGAGACAGCAGAATATATTTTGCCGTAAACAGTACCAGTATGAATGCCTCTCTAGCTAAAGAAGGCAACATGTTGAGAGTTTAAACCTGGCAAAATGATCAATACAATTGTTGGAATGATATTAAAATACAGTAGTATCAATGGACCATTAAATTGAGATGATGACGGTACCTTCTCCTCAGTGCTTTCTATGTCTGTGATGTCATCCACAGTGAGCGACGACCTCCTTCGCCTCTCCTGCAGGGCCAAATGTTTTGTTTTACACTGACGTTTCCCTGGTGGCTTCTCACACTCGCTGTGCTTCTGTAGCAGGGATGCAACTTGGAAATCTTCCTCTTCATCTGTGCACAGCACATCTGCCTTCCAGTTTTCTTTAATTTTCTGCTGCTTGGCAGCCAACCTTGAAGCTGGAGTACAGCTTGGCTGGGTTTGCCTTTTGCTGTTTATATTTGGGGCTGGAAGGTTCTTCACATGTGGAGAAGCTGGGAATAGAGGGATACCTAAAGGGGAGGAAAGGCATTACACTGTTGCACAGCGTGTTGAATGGAAAGCGGACACACACATACATAGGCAAACCTACACACGAGCTACTGTTGCACAAGTCCTTCTATTTTTACATACATATTGCATCAATATTTTAAGCAATTCCACATTTAAACAATCAATGTTAATGCACTAAATATAAAATAATTGTAATGGCTAGTATATCCCCTCCCCCAAAGCAACCCTGCCCAACCCTGTGCCCTCAAGAAGTTTTAAGGGCACAGGGTTGTAACTTCCATCAATACGGTAAGTGGTGAGGGATTATGTGGTTTATAAATCAAAACATCCTGAGGATACCAGGTTGTGGGAAACTTTCTCAAAGAAAGTGCTTGGAGATGTGTAGGTCTAAGGACAGCCACATAGCCACACAATTTAGGCACTGCACCATCTAAACACAGATTTTAAAAAAACAGCCCAAACTCACAATTTGCTTCTTTCTATCGATACAAATGAGAGATGTGGCTTGCTTACCTTTAATTTCTTTCTACAAAAATGGGAATATGCTGCTCTTTCAAGTGTTGAACTGCTGGGCCTTTTCATCTTAGAAAGTCTTTTTTTTTTTTTAAGAGTAGAAGGGTGGGAACAATCCAAAGGACACACAGGAATGACTTCAGAAAACAGAAAAAGCACTTAGGTGCCCAATTCCAGTTTCTGTCTTTGAAAAAGTCGTCCTTTGTGCCATAAAATGATTCTACTTTTTGTGACAATATAGAATGGGGTCAAAGAGCTACACACCATTTCCCAAGGTTGTATGGCTCTCTGTCTGTTTGGAAGCTGACTCTAGTGTTTCATGCTTCACATGCCTAACCTTTCAGAGAAAGTCAGTTGTCTTGCAAAAAAAGCCATGTACTTAATCCATTTGGAGCCAGAATGTATTGACCCTGCCCATCATCATTTAGTCCCTCCCAAACAATAAGATCTTCTCACCCAGTCAAGGTTTGCTCCCCTGTCATAATGTTCTACTAGCTGAGCCCAAAGAGAACAAATAGTTTTCCAAGACATGAAGAAGAAAAAATTACAGGTAGAAAGCAAGAATTTCATGATGACTTTGCTTTTGTGGGTGTTTTTTAAAGAGAAAAACAAGAAAAACAACACTTCTTTTAAATCTAAAAAGATCCAAGAGAACCACTAATCCTCTGAACTACATGAATAACTGACAGTCGTTTTAGAATAAGAATATCTTGCACTATCTGAATGCATACAGTATAAAATCAAGATTTCTCAAAATCTGCAAGGGCAAGCATCAGATGAATGAAATAGAAGTCAGCAAGCAGAAGGGCATGTGGCACTTGAGAAAACAGAGATTTGTCTACCTAAAGAAGTGTTCCCTTTGTGTCCCTCACAAAAACAGAAATCCCTTTGAGAAGGTGGTTACCCTCCATTTGCCTACTGACTTTTTTGCTGGCTGAAGCAATTTTCAAAGAAACTGTACAAAACCTCAAAAAACAAACACACACCCTAGTAGCATCCTATCAAGGCATTTGCCACTTTATCTCTTGAGCAAATAAGTATGACTCCAGTTTAGGCCCATTAAAGCATTTAATCTAACATGTAGTTTGGCCCTAAAAATGATTTGCCAAACACTTGCTGCTAACTAGAGATGACCTATAATAATTTCAATGTCCTACTGAAACATACTGTAATTGTTTTTTGGCCAGCTATCAGTATTCATATAAGGTCTGCATAACTTGCCATGGCTAATTGCTAAGCTACATCTTGGTTGTGCAATCAGTTGTGCGACCAGGCACACAACTCAGAAACATCTTGGAAACTCATCAGTTAGATGCAATTAACTAAGGCAATTTATGCAAACCTTTTGTGAACACAAACAGTATTGTGGCCTGTAGGTACTATGGCATCGTGTGCACTTATTGGGTTGACTAATTTTAAGAAGGAAACAGAAGATACAGGTGGCAAAACAGGCTGAGTAGGACAACTCAACTACTCTTCATCTGACTTCAGCGATAAGAGACTGAAAGTAGACATCTAGCATTTATCCTGGCACCAAAAAGGGGTGGGTAGAGGTGGAATACAAGCAGATACCATTCCTCCCATTCAGCTTCTTGTAACACACACTTACATTAAAAAGTAGCCCAGATGTTCAAAACCTAATGGAGCAGCCTATTCTCTTGACACTGAAGATGCAGAATTCTTTATACATCATTTAATCTACTCACTTTAATAGCCCACATAACATACATGTGCTAACATTGCAATGAAGTCAAAACCATTCCAAAACAGCAATGTTAAAAGTAATCATAAGCTACAGACAGAAATGTTGCAAGGTGGTTTTTAACACCACACACATCTAGTATGCAGCTTGAAGACATAATTAACACCACATCATACCACACACAACAAATCTAGCAAAACAAGCACTTAGTGAAGTTTAATAGTGGCTCTCTGAATCTTTATATATCAATAAAAATTATAT